AAATCTTTTTTTCCTTTTTTAGAAATCTACTGGGTGTTCCACATTGTACCTGCAGTAGGAGTGCAGTACACAGCACTTCAGCCAATCACAGCATAGTTAACAGTGGAGCAGCCAATCAAACCACTATACACAAGTGAGGCTGTCAATTACATCACAATAAACAATCCAGCAGCCAACCCAAACACAGTACGTGTATGTACAGCGACAGCCTATCACAGCACAGTACACAGCGGCAGTCAAAGGCCTCCCAGCCAGGGACAAGTTTCAGCTGCTGCCAAGGTTTTCAGTAATGTCAGTTTTCAGAAGGACTTATCCTTGGTCATTTAACCATTGTGTTGCCGTAAAATGCACTGTGAAATGTAATACAAAAATAATATTTGTAAAGAATATAAAAACACCTTCCTCGTCTCTACTGCTCAATCAAGAGAGTCCGAGCTATTTATCCTCTGGCTTCTCCAATTTCTCCATTTCCTTCGATGTCGTCACGCCTGCAGTTTCCCTCCCATCCTGCTGGGGTGCTGTGTTGTGCACCCTGGCCCCCGAGGTGAGGAGCTGTCCAAAGCCCCGCCCCTGAGACACGGCGTAGGAAGATCGCCGGTGAGAGTCGCCCCTGCGGAAAGCAGCCTGCAGCTCCACAGGTCCTTCTGAGCTGTGCACCTGAGGCAGATCACAGAGAGATCACAGAGAGATTGCAGAGATCACAGGGATCACAAACGATCACAGATAGATCACAAAGAGGTAACAGAGATCACAAACAGATCACAGAAAGATTTCAGAGATCACAGACAGATCACAGAGCGATATCTGGGCTTTTGCAGACTATGACATTATTTATCTTTAGCAATGCCTGTTCCATTTGTAACAAAGATTTATTAAAGTTTCTGTTAATAGACTTGAGCAATAAATAGAATGAGAAAAAACTAGAAGGTGTAACACAGGATAGGAAAACTTCCCCTGGCACAGCTCTTAACAGACACAGAGCACCAGGGGCAGAGAGACTGACACAGTGCCACACTGACAGCTGCTCCTGTCGTTTATCGAGGTCTGGAGGTGGCGTAGTCGGACACTTCACCCACAACGTACAGATGTGCTACTGGTTTAAACCAGAGCTGGGAACTGAGCGCGTGGGGCTTCACGGTCATGCAGCTCGCAGTTTGAGATAAACTCTGGTCAGTTCGACAATTAAGTCGAGCTACTTTCTTTCCAGTCAAACACAGACCAATCACGCTCACACGCGCAGTCACGCGCGCACCAGCCTAGGCGTACCCTGTGCATGCTGGGGGAGCTCAGGACAAGCCTCAGCGCTCTGGCGGTGAAAGAGGGCAGCAGGGCGGTGACAGACGTCAGCAGGATGGTCAGCCAAACCAGAGGATTGGACAGGGCATTGATAGACACACCTGTGGACAGAGACAGAGGTATACTGTACCTGAGCGACAGTGATGCAGGA